GTTTGACGCTTTCGCGCACCTTCACAAAGCTAGGAAACTAGAAAAGAGAGAGGTTAGAAGCTCGGTACAGGCACAACTCAAATTTTCAAGTCCGCTTGCTAGCTTGAGTCTCACAGCTATTTCGCGATCCAAATTGGAAGAAGTATAGCACCCGGATAGGAATCACAATCAGAACATTTTTCGAAATTAAAACGAGAAAAGTGGAGAATAAAGCAATTGCAGGATTACTTCTCAATTATCAGAATGAGAACGGACATCCAAGAACGAACTAGAGCTGCTTGTCTAGACGATTAGAAGAATAGCCAGAAAGCAGATTACGAAAATGAGCTGTAGATTTTCTCTCCCGGCTCTACTTGTTTCTCTTACGGCAAACTAAACAAAACTACATTCATAGACACAATCAAAAAGTTATGAAAGAAGTCGCTCAAATACTTCCTTTCCTCCCCTCATGTGACTTCCAAAGACATCACAATTACATACCTTTCAATCTTCTTTATGGAGAGGGGAGGCACAATTTGGGTCGCGCGAGAACGGTAACCTCACCCATTTAAGTTTCGCAAGGCGCAATTTGTCCAAATATGTAGTTGTCACTCCCAACATCGTGGAGTACATTGCGGAATATGTTAACGCGGGAGTTACGCAAAAATGTGCTGGACTGTTTGCAACGAAGTCCCAACCAGCAGGTGCTTTATTTGAGGTCTCTTAGTGGTACGCATAGGTTTCGTATCACACAAAAGCACACGGCTGCAGCCAAGTGCAATCAACGTCTGTTGACAACTGCCGACGAACCAGACGACTGTAGGAAAAAATTGGTATCGATCGCATCAGAAGTGGGAAACCGCCAGAACACTGGGTAGTAGTAGGTATCCTTTTAGAGAAGGGATCCTTCCGAATCATAAGAATTGAAGCTCCCATTCCAAATGGAGACAAGTTGCTTTCAGGAAAAAAATCGGTGTCTGAAATCACCGAAGAGGTGGCTCTTTACTGAGTGCTGCAATGGGGGAGAACATCCTGACGAAAAACGAGACCCGAACGCGTGACGAACTTTGTGCACCTCATGGGGTTTTAGCAATTATTAACATAACTATGGAAGGACGTGGTTCCAAATGGTCAGATGTGCTTTGATTTACTAAGTTTCCTACGTCTCACAAAATCACTTCGATTAATCCCTCGTTTTCTTTTTACTGCCACTGACATGCACATAAGAAAGAATAGTAGGAATAAATACAAAACTATACGAACTCCAAGATATGTGCCCTAACTGGAACAATTATGGCGAAAACACTTTTGAAATTCACTATATCGAGGGTAAGTAACCTTCGCTTTTTCGTTACTACTACGCATCCTTTTGACCGAAATTTTACTATTTTACCTATAGATTATTTCATTCCACATCATAGCGGTGAAATTGTTTTGTGTATTCACCACTCCAAATCCAAGCGGGTGAGGTGAGGCGACCGCGCTCGCAAAATCGCGCCTGTCCCAAACGGTCAAAAAAACCAGCACGCGCTGTCGTCAACGTGTTAAGAAAGAGGCTAAACGTGCACGGCAAAGATGTTCTGTTCTTCGGTCCATGAAGGGTACAACTATTGATCGCTCAATAACCGGACTTCGCTTGAATGCAGTAGAAAGAGCAGTCTCTTCATTAATGGCACCTAGTCTTGTTTTTCATGCGTGGCCAGTACTCAAAATTTCACGCGGCATTTACACTCTTCTACAACCATCGACCGTAATCGGCTTGTCCACATCACTGAGGAGTAATTGGACGCAAGGAACGGGTTGCACGCTGAAGTATCCTATTCTGCGATTCTAGGTTACCCATACTCAAATTCTCTGAGCCTATTAGATTTATAAACAACGTTTGTAATGAATATTGCCCATACTGTTTTTGAGTGGCGGTCCGCCTCTTGGATCAGTATCACTGATAACATCACAGCATAACCGCAAGCCACAAGAGCGTTACCACTGAAAGAAGAGAAGTCCAAACCGGAATACAGTTGCATAAGCCGAATCAAAACTGGGGCATCTGTCTACTTCTGGAGAAATCTGCTGGCTTCCTAGGATGTCTTTACAGATATAGAACTAAAAACTGGGTCTATTCCAGTTAGGGGGGGCATCATGATGCAGTTTTTCCAGAAAGCTAGGGTAACTCCGAGCCAGGGAGTGTAGCCAGTCTAGGGGGTGGGGGTGAGGGCAGTCACTTGACATGCGTGAAAAGCTGGAATGTTCGAGTTCACACTAGTTCGCCGAGAAGCTGCATCATGATGCCCCCTAACTGGAATAGACCCCAAAACTTCTTAACACCACATCTTTTGGACCAATGATGTTCATGAATTCTAAGAATGACGGCTGGCAATTGGCCATGCCGTCCAGTGTAGAGCTGGTAGCAATGCCTGCGCCGTGATTCAAAAGGAGCCTAATTTTCGCATGACCTTCAGAACCGAAGGTACGATTGAATAGAGATTTGAATAGCGGATTTGAACACCAAGTGCCAAGTTCCCAAGCTTCTTGTTCCGCTTGGTAGTGGAGTCACGAAAGGTTATTAAAAAGGCTTTCAAGTCGGACCTAAGCGGTACTACATTTGACCAGAAAAGCAGAGAGCGGCAGTCAGACGTACAATGCAAAGATGGCAGTGAAAACGAACATCGCGAACGGCACGGAAGGCGGTCGGACTAAATTTTAGTGCAGACTGCCGATTCGACGCCGAGCGTTGGCTTGCGTACGCAGCCAAATCACGCCCCTTGTTCGCGTATCGACCGTGCTGGCGTCGTCGGATTCGCCTTGTGTGTCGTCAACCAAGACCAGAACTAGGTGCTCCAGATGGCCAGGCAAGCGGTCAGCGTCGTCTACTTCTATGGAGCGCTCGCAAATCTGCGGTTATTCCATCCGGAACAGTCATTTTTGGCACTTTTGGTGTAAATGCTCAAAACAGCAATTCCTTACTTAAGAAAAGGCTTTGCAGTCAGACCACTAACTGGACAAGTGACCAAGAAAGATCACTCTTCAAAAATGCTCTTCTTATCCAGCTTCATTTTGTAATTCGCGTTCCCTACGCCAGGCTACTTCAGTTCATTGTATGGTGCTTCTCATTAGTAAATCATAGTTGTTTGTACTTTTTCTTATTGCCGCTGTTTCTTCGTTGCACTCTTTGTCAGCTATCATGCTTCTTCTACCTAAATGTTTCCTTATTATACCCTCAATTGTTGTGATGTTCTACCTTACAGATCCACTTCCAGCAACTCGCCAAGGATTTGCGTTTTCTTTTATCGAACGTCGTTAGCTGGTGATTTACAGTGAGCCTTTTTCGCTTTTGCTAAAAATACAACTTTTAACAGTCTTTTGTGTTCTTGGACTAAGTTCAGAGAAATGAAATCATTGAGTTCATACCTTATGACTTGATTTTTTATAACAAATGATAAGGAGATCTTCTGCTTGATAAGCATGAGATGGGAAGCACTTATGACAAGGTGAGGGTTGACACCATTAGAAATTTTCGGCCATCAATAAGGGAAAGAATTATTAGAGCTGTTATGTTTTTTTTTCTGTAATTGTGGTGAGCCTGAAGTGTTTGGACAGCCTTCATTCATCGGTTTTTTAGCTCCACTTAAATTAAACCTCTTGTTTCTGACTCATCTATCCTCTAGGAAGAAGCCGCGAACTCGTTGCGCTGCATGCATTATATTCTTTGGTGGGCCAGTCCACGGTTAAAGAACAGGTCATCATGGCGGAGAAGCGAAAGCTCCTTGCCGAGATTGATAAATGTTTCAAAAAGGTGAGCGATGCACACAAAATTCGAGATTTTCAACCTCTTCGTGTTTACTTGCACTCATGGTATAGTGTCTGAATTTGGTGCTTTTTTCTTCATGTCTTCTCAATCGAACAAGTTTTCAGATCGACGAAGGTGTAGAACTGTTCGAAGAGACTATGGTGAAAATGCACGAAGCAAATAGTGATAACCAACGGGAAAAGTACCAGGTTTATATTAACTTCAATATGCATGATACGCACTCCAGTTTCCAAGTGATGCTTCATCAGTCGTTGCAGGATGACTTGAAAAAAGAGATTAAAAAACTGCAGCGGTTGAGAGATCAAGTGAAAGGATGGCAAAACTGCTCGGAGATTAAGGTACCCGTATGTACTTTTGTGACATATTTTCTTCTTGTCTTTTGGCACAAATAACTCAGTCGATTAACTCCCACCGTCCTAGGATAAAGACAAATTGACCCATTATCGCAAGATTATCGAGCAAAGAATGGAGCAGTTCAAGGATATTGAACGAGAGAACAAGACAAAACCCCATAGCAAACAGGTGGCTCATAAGCGCAGTATTATCTTGATGTCTCTTTTCCAATGTAGTATATAAGTACCTTTTGATATTCGTGTTCTCAAGGGCTTGAGCGCTGAAGAAAAGTTGGATCCGCGAGAGAAGGAAAAGGTTGATACGATCGAATGGTTGCAGGTCCGTTATTATGTTCCATTTATTTCATTCTTTTACCTTTTCATAGCGGATCATTGGTGTGCTTTGCTTTCACTTGCTCTATAATGGTTTTTAACGAATTCAACGTGGTTTTTAAGAGTCAAATACGAGAACTTAGTGATGAGGCTGATCGCACGAATCTCAAATTGAATC